TAAAAGAACTGTACATAAAACCTGAAACTATAAAATATATAGAAGAAAATATGTAAGTTATACATCTCAGTAACATCTTCTTTAAGATGTATTTATTTCTGCATATAAGAACTGGGACACAGGCCAGAGGGGCGGGGGGTGAGAGAATTCACCAGAGACAGAGTGGGGAACAGAACAGTTGACTGAAATACACTGCTGAGGGGAGCAGCGGGTGAGCCAGCGGGTTTGCTACAATCACTGAGTAAGAAAGGCTGGGTAAAAAAGATTGGATAAAAGAACTTAATTGGATAAAAGAACTGTACATAAAACCTGAAACTATAAAATATATAGAAGAAAATATGTAAGTTATACATCTCAGTAACATCTTCTTTAAGATGTATTTATTTCTGCATACAAGAACTGGGACACAGGCCAGAGGGGCGGGGGGTGAGAGAATTCACCAGAGACAGAGTGGGGAACAGAACAGTTGACTGAAATACACTGCTGAGGGGAGCAGCGGGTGAGCTAGGAGAGGTCTGCTGTGCATGTGGGTAGCTCCATGGCCAGGAATCTAACTTATGCTGCGGTGTCTGCAGATAGCTTCATAGGTCGAGTCTTAACTTCTAGTGCCATCAGGGAGGCCCCCTCAGTAACATCTCTAAAGACTCATCATCCAAAGCAAAGAAAGTCACAGAAAAGATAAACACCTGGGATTATATCAAACTGAAAAGCTTCTGTACAGCAAAAGAGACATTAACCAAAACAAAGAGATACCCTACTGACTGGGAAAAAAATTTTGCACTCCATGCAACTGATAAGGGACTGATCACAAAGATATACAAAGAACTCAAACAACTCAACAAGAACAAAGTAAACAATCCAGTCAAGAAATGGGCAGAAGAACTTAAAAGACATTTCTCCAAAGAGGAAATGCAAACGGCCAACAGGCATATGAAAAAATGTTCAACATCTCCTATAATATAGAGAAATACAAATCAAAACCACATTGAGATACCACCTTAAACTGATAAGCATGGCACATATCAAAAAAACTAGCAACAACAAATGTTGGCGAGGATGCAGTGAAAAAGGAACTTTCCTACATTGCTGGTGGGAGTGCAAACTGGTCCAAACACTATGGAAAGCTGCCTGGAGATTCCTCAGTCTACTAAAAATGGAGCTACCATTTGACCCAGCAATTCCACTCCTAGGGATCTACCCAAAGGACACAAAAACATTGATTCAAAAGAACATCTGTAGGGCCTCCCCGGTGGCGCAGCGGTTGAGCTCTGGGTTGCGAAGCTGCCCGCAGCCTCTGCAGCGCCGGTTCGATTCCCGGCTGCTCCCCGGCCACCAGAGGAGGGTCCCACATGGCGCACAGACCTCTCCTGCCGCCCGCTGCCCCCCTCAGCAGTGTACTTCGGTCCTTCTGCCTGCTCTGCTCCCTGTTCTGGCTCTGGTGAATTCTCTCACCCTCCCGCGCTTCTGACTGTACCCAGTGCATGTATAAACAAAAACAAACAAACAAACAAATAAATAAATAAATAAAACATGCCTCTATTAAAAAAAAACAACTAAAAAAAAAAAAAAGAACATCTACACCCTTATGTTTATTGCAGTGCTATTTACAATAGGTAAAACCTGGAAACAACCCAAATGCCAAAAAAATAGATGACTGGATCAAGAAGATGTGGTATTTATACACAATAGAATGTTATTCAGCAATCAATAAACAATAAACGCATGCCATTTGCAGCAACATGGATGGAGCTAGAAGGAATTATGCTCAGTGAAATAGTCAGAAAGAAAAAGAAAAATGTCAGATGGTTTCACTTATAGCAGGAATATAGGGGAACCAAATAAGACAACAGTGTTAAAAAATAATCAAAACATGACAGAGCAAAAGACAATTATAAATCAGAGATATGCTGAAGGGAGGAGGAGGGAGAGGGATCAAAGGGAGTGAGAGAGGAGCACAGGGGACTGAGGTGATGGTGCACGGGTGCATTGGTGAAGGGAATTCTATGGGGACTACACCTGAGTGGGTGGGGAGAAGCAAATACTGTTTAAAAATGAACAATGATGTAAAAATTTAAAAAAAGAAAGTAACTAGTGATATTTATTGGAGAGTATTATATATTTAACAAAGCAGAAATGTGTAAAAGCATACAGACAAAAGTAGTTGTGGAAATGCCTACTTTGATCTTAGGTAGGTCATAGTAGACCACATTCTTAATCCACAAGGTTTATGTATATCAAACTGCATCTCACTCTTGTTTCTACTGCTATTTCCAATTACTTTCTGGCCTCAATGTGACAGATTGTGAATTTTTCATTTTCTGAGATAAAGGTCTGGTGAAACTTTGGAGAAGAGAAGTATGTCTTCCTAGTGTCATGAGTAATATCCAAGAAGATAATGTCAAGAGCCCCTACAGACTCCTGATCACAGCTATACGGAAATCTCTTAGCTCCACAATCTGTATAGGATGTAGATAATTCACAGGGATGTTGGATGTTCCTTTTTGTTGATAACTGAAGCACACTGGTATCGGCAAGCCTCAAAATAAGGAACAAAGCAAGTTACCCTTGCAAATTATAACAGGTCGCAAGTCCAACTAGATTTAATATGAGTTGCTTTTTTAATCAAAAAGAACACATGTCCTTTTCTCTCATTCATTTACCTCTGAACAAAATCTGAAATTAGGGCTATGAAACAATTACTTATTGAATTCAGAGTTTTGAAAACTTACAAATATTACAAGAAAGAAAAATCACAGGAAGTTTATTAAATATAACTCAACCCTTTTTCTGTCCAACCATGTAAATGACTGTCAACAGTTCTGTCAATTCCTGTAGCTGTGGGAAGACTATGATAATCTGTGGAGAGGCAGATAGGAGCATTTCTCCACCAAACTTCTATCATCAATCATCCTGAATCTCACAGAAGCAAAACTGTGAAAAATGCAACCAGACCATATTTCTAATTTCTCACTGGACAAAAGACTGTTTCAGCTACCAGGAAGCCATAAGATTTTCCTACCGGATTGTGTCTGCTGCCCCACAAATGATGAAGGAGTCATCCAGGTATTTAGAAACCACAAAGACTTCATGGAACTGATAAGAACATGTCTACCTCTCTAAGAAATTGAGAGTGTAGGTCAATGCTGAAAATTAGTCATTTCACAGAAATAAGCAATAAAACTTTAGAACTGTTGTAAAGTGATACGGCTGATACTGCTGCAATACTGTGGAAGGTACAGCACAAATTGTGAAAGAAATACCCAGACATATGACATAATATGTCATGGCAAGCCCCTAATGCCTGCTATGAGATGACAAAGTATGACAATCATTTGTCACTGTGTCTTAACCAAAAAATGGCACTCTTGTTTCTACTGCTAGATGCTGGGAGAAATAGTATTGTTTTTCTAATCCTCATTATTTTCATTTTACAAGAATGATCTTTGTATAATTATCCCAAAATAGGATAGAGGAATAAATATGCATTGCAAGCAAAATAAGCTAATATATATTTTAAGTAGTTATATGCCACTAATAACATTTATTTAGATAATTTACGATCTCATAATTTCACAATCTAAGAGTGAAAAATAGGCTTTATTACCCCCACTTTATAGCTGAAGGAAAGGACATCTCCATAAGTTCTATACCTTTTCTGAGCTAAGTAAGTAGCATACTTAACATTCCAACCTGTCTAAATCTAGAGCCCAGATATTAAATCTAGGTTCATGGATTCAAAGGAAAATACAAAAGTGATCTTGTTTGCCTCTATTAATAAACTTCACATGTATGGTCAAAATTAAAAAAAAAATTGTGATATCAGAAGTCATTTTTATTTAACTATTGAGTGAAAAGGGGACTATAGCCAATACAATGTGTGTTGCCCTCTATTTCATTCAGCAACCTCCTGGTATTATGAGGTAATCAATTTATCAGTTGATAAATGTGTATCGGTAATTATAACAGCGATTAAAATACAGGAAGGAAGGACAGAAGGAGAAAAGGAAGGAAGAAAGAAGTAATGGAGGAAAGAGAAAAAAGGCAGGGAAGAGGAAGGGGGAACGTGGTGGAGAAAAGCAGAAGGAAACAAGGAAAGACTTTGCTGAACATGTCACCCCTGTGTGGATGCTAATAATGCTTCTAAACCCACTTGATAATTGCTTCTGTTCTATGGATTACTTCACTCCATTAGTCAAAACATTTCATTCCACACACCAAAAATATTATAAGCAGGGCCTCTCATGGCAAAGCTGATTAACAGACAAATTCGCTATTTTCCAAGAGACTGCTTTTTTTAAACTGTAGGATAAAGGTTTCAAATGTCACATTTCTCATTTCCATGTGACTTATGTATTTTCTAAATCATCCTTCAATTCAAATAACCATTATACTAGAAGCTTCGTGAGGAAGGAAAGACACCATTGTTAATAGTCTGTAAATCTTGACAACTTATATTTAAAAAATGGTTCTTTAGAAATGTTAACATTATGTCTAGAACCAATTCTAATCTAATGTTATATAAATGAAAAGATACTGCTTAGTATTTTTTTCTTTTTATCTGAAAGGGTGTAGCCCTGGAATCCTTACAAGGTGATATTTGCAATCATTCATAAAAGTATGTTATATCGACCTCCAGAAATTCAAATATAACTTGTTTTGTATTGATAAGTATGGCTCTCCAAGCAATTACCATATTCTACTTGTCTTGATATATTTAAACTGCCAGAGCCATCTTTAGGTTCACTGTACTACACTTAGGCACAATCAGTGTTCTTTTGTCATAGAGGAAGTAACCCCATATTAAGTCAAGGCAGCTTACTTTGCAGCAATGTGTCACTTAAGTGCTTTCTAACTGCTATTTCAGCACTTGATTTAAACATAAATATTCAAGGACACAGTTATTTGTGTTTCTCTCCCTCAGAAAAATGACCTGATAGAATGGGGTGGTATGTCATTTGACTGATAGTACTTAATAATCCTTGGGATTCATTGAATCATACCTTGGTGATTCTGGCAGACAGCCTTCAGGATGCGATGTCCCAGGCCACATTTTCCATGATCAGGAATACAGATCCCCTCAGATGCCAGCCATCGGTAACACATGGGATCTTCACAAGGAACAGATTCCACCAAATGAGGGCAATGCCCATCAGGCCCTGTGGATTCCATGAGGATGTGTCGCTGTCTCATTCTAAATCCTATGAAGAGAAAGGAAAAAGCTTCACAGGATTCCATCCATATCTAGCAAAGGAAAAACAGCAGCCACTACGAAAGAGTTGAAACTTTTTTTAAATACCTATAGTTCTAAAGCAAGAATCATTTTGATATGCTTTATGTAATGAAAATGGAGGGTTAAGAAGAGGAAAGGAAAAAAATAGAAAGGATCAAGAGCAGGGAATGTCCCTCAAGGGTTTATAAACTAGGATTTGGAGAGGTCAGACATATTCAAGGAATATTCATTGTATGTGTTCAATGATATCATCAAACCAGTAAAAAAAAAAAAAAAAATGAAGACTTACAGAAATAGCCTAACCGTCAGTAAATTAATGTTTTCTTCATATCATTGCTTTGACATACTGATACTCTGTAAAATGTTGAAATACACCTACAGTTTGGCATTTTCCTGCTCCCTCAGTCTTGAGAGTTACCTGAGATTCCCAGGTCAGCCTGACCTAGGACCCACTTCGGACTGCACTTCCCAAACTGACTAGACACGGACTATTCCTGGGCTATTCACCAACTAAAAACAAAACACTGTGAGACCAATGCCCAAAGTTCCACCACAATATTGACACAAATGGATTCTGTGCTACAAGCCTAACGAAGGAGGAAGCCAGGGAGTGGGTACAGGAAATCAGTTAGGAACAGGGTATCTCAAGCCCCACATCCATGTAGCAGCCTAATTGAGAAAGACACCCAGGAGGGTTCCACCACCACCAATGCTCTCAAGCCCACGTGCCCTAGGTCCATTTATCAGTCTAATTGGAGTGTTCAGAACACCAACATAACAACACAATGCTAAAGCAAAGGACCAAGGCTAGTTTCGAAAAGATAGGCCAGGAAATGTGGGCAAACTCTGCGTGCCTGGGTAGCTTAGGAGAACCATGCAAACTTAGTAGCCAAGAAGATCTCCACCATTTCAGTGGACCTATGTAACCTAGGTGACCCCCTCGGGCCCAGCCAATCATCATAAGACACAATGTGGAGACACCCGACAGTCAAACCTCCACTCCTTGCCCACTTTACCCATATAAGCACCTGCTTCTTGCCACCTCAATTGGATACCCATTTGGGACCCCTCTCCACTTGTACAGCTTTCCTTCACTTCCTCTCACCAATCAACAAATCTCTTGTTTTTCTGTATCTTTGGTCTCAACATTGAATTCTTTCTTTGCCAAAGACAAGAAGCAAGAGCCCGGCCTAGGGTCCTCAGACTCCAGGCCTGCTCACCAAAAACCCTGATTCACTATCAAGCCACAAACTTAGTCTCTCAGAAGCCAAGTAGGTATAAACAGAGGGAAATGGCCATGACAAGATTGTAGGGAGTGATGGGGTCTGTGGTAAAATGGAGGATGTGATCTCGCTGTTAAGTGGTTGGTATTTATTCAGCTTTCAATGATCTAGCAAATGTTGAGCCTATTTGTCAAAACTTCTAATTCTGTCAAAGAGCCATAAATACAATTTTTAATCTGAAACTTTCCATTTTTAAATAATATAAATTATTACTAATTTACAGTTTCATGAAATAAAGTGAACTTTAAAAATGACTGAGAATTAGACAAAACCCTTCATTAGAATTAGATGAAAACCTTTCAATCTCTGGCCTTCGTGACATATCAGTTCTAAAGACAATGTCTAGTTCCATAGATCTCATATTTTATCTCATATTTTATTCTTTAATACTCCATATTCAATCAATCAATTTAATTTCTTTAATTATTAAACAAATGAAACCAATCATATGGTATAGTAACATTTTTAGGAATTATTATTCCTTATTATTATTCCTTATTATTCACTTATTTCTTAGGGTAAGTTATAATAAAATGACAGGAAGATTGAGGGCACGAGAACAATGAATTACCAGAATGAGAGCATTAGATAGGGAGAAGTACAAGTTAGGGAGCATGAGAGGTTAAAAAAAAAAAAAGCAGATATATTTTTCTCACAATTCTGCTAGGACCATGTCTATTTTCCTGCCAAAAGCCATGAAATGAAAAGGTTACAAAGCTCAAGGTGTAGTTGACAAAAAACTAACTCCTCTTAAATAGCACAGCCAAGGAGGTTAGAATAAATCCACACATGGTTTTAGGCCACAAGAGGGAGCTGAGCTTCCTTAGAATACTGCAAAATGGGCAAGTATTTTAGATAACCCTTTAAAAGTGCTTTATTTGGGCTTTTGGTTCTAGGGGTAACCCATGACTTCTCCTTAAAGAGACCCCTACACTTTAAGGATTTCTCAACTGTGGGAAGGCATTACATAGCCATTCTGAGACCACATCCACATAGCACTGACAATATTAAGGGAGGGCTGCAGAGGAATAAAAGAAAAAATAGCATCTTGCCCATTTTCTACCTCTAAGCCTATATCATTAATTAGTCAAAATAAACCTATAGAGGGACTCAGCTCACTCTCTGGACCATCTAAAGAAGAGACACAAGAAATATACAGCATTCTACACTACAATGACCTCTGACCTCTCCTCGCCGCATAGCCTGGATGACCTCCATTCTGAAGTGTATATCTATATGCTATTTATTTATTGTTTTATATCTGTTGCTGTTCAGTTTATATCTTTGAGCAAGACATAGCATGGGTTTCCATGATTTACAGTGTTTGATAACCACCTCAGAAACTTAGCAATCTTTGCTAGGGATTCTGGGTGTTCTATTACTTAGAGTTTAATGCCTTTGAGAAGCATATGCAGTTTTCCTCCATAAATCAAGTTGCATCCATCTCATCATAAATCTATAGATTACATCTCCTCAGTCAATAAATTCTTTCAGTCTTTCATTTATGCTGCCCTTGTCCTCACTCTAACTAGGATCAAATCACAGCACAAGCTCAGCATAAAACAAAAACCTTGGATCCTCTTGTTAGCATTTAAACTTGAACCACAATTTGGTGGTGATGCCTGCAAGAGACGTCAGGCTCCCCCAGAGGCTTGTGTTCTGAGCGACGCATAACTGCCAAGTCCACAGTAGCTGGGGCATTTACTGACTTCCATATTCATTGGATAACATGATTCAGTGAACATTAACTACCATGTGTAGATCACTGTAATGTGCTGTGGGAAGTTACAGGAGGACAGAAAAATAAATCTTCACAGAGCATATATTCCAACAAGGAAAACAGGCATGCACATTAATTAAGCATCTACCTTATAACTGGACTGTGATAGCCACTTTAATTTTATTACTCCAAATTGATAAATACTCAAAACTACTTCACAAGTTATTATTTCTATTTTACATATGTGGAAATTAAGGCAAAAGGATGCTTTTTACTTCTCCAAAGGCACATTATTGAGTATGTGGATGCACATGAAATCCAACTGAGGTCTTTGTGAGACCTTCCTTACCTCCTCACAAGAAAGGCCTCAAATCAACTCTTGTGTGTTACTGTGTTTTCATCCAACTTCATCTTGAAAACTGACAGGTAGCTTGGATCATTTATTAAACTAAAGAGGTAAAGTTGGGCTAGTAAAATTTAGGCACTAAGGACAAGAAAGAGTTATAGTAATCACTTGCTCATCACAGATTCAGTACACCTTCACTGAACTTAATATTTGCATATTTTTTTCTATGAACCCAATGATTTAATATGTATTCTACTGGCTTAGTGTATATACAACTAGAGATAATTAGAAAAGAGTGGGTTAGGGAGAGAAATAGGAAGCATTTGCACCAAATGGCAGAAGGAAGTCAATGTTTTTAATTGAAGTCATAGCAAAATTGAAGGTGGTTAGGAGGGGAAACCAAAGATGCATTTCTTCATGTGCTAGTGGCCTACATGTGTGCACAAGAGCTTCTGCAGAGCTGTCCATGGGCAACGCCACTGGGACAGGCTTGAGCAATATCCAACAGGAGAAACAAAGAGGACAGAGGCATATTTCATTTAAGTATTCCATTTGGGGCCTCTCTGGTGGCACAAAGGGTTAAGTCTCAGCAATATGAAGCTATCTATAGCCACTGCAGCACCACGAGTTGGATCCCCGGCCAGAAAGCTGACCCACATGGTGCGGCAGGCCTTTCCTGTCTCTCCCACTGCTCCCCTCAGCAGTGTATTTCAGTAGATCTGCCTGTTCTGCTCCCCACTCTGTCTCTGGTGAATCCTCTCACCCCCTGCACCTCTGGCCCATACCCCAGCTCTTGTATGCATAAACAAATAGATTTTTGGGAAAAAAAAAAAAAGTATTCCATTTGGACTTCAACTCGGGAGCCCTGAATGTTGGCAGCAACTTTGATTCAAAGAACCTGCACAGATTGAAGCACAGGTTCTAATTCTTTCAGAATCAACCAACATCCCTACATTTTGTAGGCCCATTATTACTTTAAACACTTTTGTGAATTCAGAAAATAAGCAGCGTAGAGGGGGGATGGTGATCATGAGAACTCAGTGCTTACAGGGAGAAGTAGGCATAGATCTCTTACCAGCTCCCACACAGAAAACAAGAAGAAGAAAAGAAGGCTCTCTTAGCATATATATTATCTGTGACAGAGAAAAATCATTTTATAAACTTTTCATTAAAGGTGGATCTGTCTAGAAGGCCAGGATGGAAAATGGAAATGTTCCCTGTTATTATTATATAACATCTAAAACGTCAGTATTTTCCTACTTTAGTGTGTTATCTCAATTGATTTGTTTCAGAGCTGTAAAGACTGTCTTTGTAAAAACCAATCATGGTTTTTCAGTTTCAAAATGTCTTTTTCCTATGGGGATATTTAGGACTTTAGATGCTAAGATCAGAGAGTTATACTGCATTGGGTGAGGGAAGAATCCCGAAATCCTATCACGTAAACTATTATCTATCGCAACATCATACCAGAAAGCCCCATCAAGTGACTAGAACAACTAACTTCAGTGGGCAAGGTTGCCTTTCTCAACTACGTCTAAGAGGGAGAACGATATCATATCAATGTGTGTCTATGCATCAAAAAGAATTTTAAAAGATGCATTATTCCTAGGTGTAGAGTT